TGCCACTGACAGAGGAGTACTGGGGAAAGCTGGAAAATGTATGTAGGGGTGTGTGAGCCTGCTGGAGCGTTTCAAACAAACTCTTCTGAAGATCTGAGATTTGAAATGAAGAAAAAGAGAGCTCTTACTCAGACGGATCTTCTGGCAGACCAGAAGAGCCAAGTGCACAGATAGAGCAGGCAAACAAAACTTCCCTCTCAGAAGCCCCATTACTGGGCAAGTGCACCAAACCTACGGTGAGACTCCTGCTCCTGACAGTAAATCCTCTTGCCAAGATTGATTAGAGCCATAAATGAACAGACAGCCAGGAAATACCCAAGGTGAAGAGAGACAGCAAATCCCCAAACGTTACTATTAACAGTTCTATGGAAAGAAGACTTTGCTTTCCCAGATCTGACAGGAAAGGAGGCCACGCTTTGCTAAGAATTGTACTGGGGTTCCTATGGGAACTCAGTGCTGGAAGGCACTTTAATGACACCAAGTCCTGTCCCCTACAGCTCTGTAACTGTGTCACAGCCCTTCTCGTGGATAATCACTTTCCATTCTGAGTGTGGAGGTTTTTGATCCCTGTTCTTCTACTAAAGGCTGTTACAGAGCCTGAAGCCTGCTTTGGAATCTACTCCTTTAAAATAAAGCTAATGCAAAAGTAGAATGAATGGGAACAATCCAAACTAGGGATCTGTCAGTATGAACCCAGGGATCGCTGGAAGCAGCAGGATTTGCTTCTCGATGGAGTTTCCCATCCTGTCTGAAAGCAGCTCGATCAGTGGCAGCACCCAGAGCCAAACCCAGCAGCTCCATGTGGGCTATCAGAACACCTGCACTGGGTGGCTGAACAACTACTTCATGGTGTTAGGTCCCAGTAAGTTTAATGAGCAACTGCAGGTTAAATGTGGGCTCTGAGTCACTGCCCTGCCTGAGGCAGGTTTCCAGTGTATTCAGTGCAGACTTCCAGTGCACCATGCTTTAACTTAGCGTGCCGGTCTGTGACTGCAGTGGCTGAGGAGCTCTTCAGCAGATGCAGGTGAAGCCAAGAGGGAAAGTGAATCAGAGCCCTTAGCAGTCAGCCTGTCTCCTTTCCCAACAGGACAACAGGACAGATGCGGGCTATCTTAGCACTGGCTCAGCCTGGTTATGTGACCCTCCTGATGAAAATCCCTGAGCAGAAGCAGTTGAGTTTCACGATGAGTCTGAAGCTTGTTCCGAGCGATAACGGGATCAAAGCAGGACTTCTTTTATGCTCCCAGATTTTTCTCTTTCACAGTTAATGGGCTCTGCCCTGCCAGATCACCTTGCTGCGCTGGGAGCCATCGGTGCCATCAGTGCTGGCTCTGCTCAGAACCTCAAGGCGTTAATAATTCTCCTTCCCACCCCATCCCCCCTCCTAAAAAAAAAAGGAATTTTGCTGGATGTGGAGGGAATCCAACAAATCACAGACAGAAGGTTTCCTCTGCAGGAGGAAATCCTGCCTAGCTCTACACAGCCACCTTCCTCATCGCTCAGCCACAAATTTCAGGGCATAGAGAAGCAATTAAAGGATATTATTAATAGTTCTGGGTGGAATGGAAATAGCAGCTTTATTGGAGAAGATCTCACAAGTTACACACAGCAGAAATTAACCTTAATTCCTACTGATATCACTATTCCCTTAAGTGCAGTTGCACGGCAAGGCAAGAGGGCTATACAAACAATTAGAAGTACAACAAATGCCTTAATGGACTTCAGTTATTGTTTCTCTCCAAGCCCCTTACGATGCAGGATTTCCCAGATACACTGATTAAACTGCCTTTGGCTGTAAACAAAGCTTGATGTGGAGCTGCAGAGATTTCCTTGATGGCATTCTCCTCTTTTTCATCCGCTCAAACCCTTTGTTTCAGCTCTACACAAAAATTCCCATTGGGTTAGAATGCACTGACTCATCAGTTAAAGCTATCAGCTGCAAGAAAGAAATCCACTCTCACATCACCATACAATCAAAGAAGGGCCTGGGTTGAAAAGGACCACAGTGACCACCTAGTTTCAACCCCCTGCTATGTGCAGGGTCACCAACCAGCAGACCACGCTGCCCAGAGCCACATCCAGCCTGGCCTTGAATGCCTCCTGTGGTGGCACTGAATGGCCACACTCCTGGCTTCACCTGCCTGCTCCATCAGGGTGACACAGCACGCAGCCCATGGGAAGAACTGCTTGTGTGTGCTCTCCCCACAGTGAGTTACTGGCAGTGCCCACAGGCTGTGCGAAGGACTTATTTCATTGGGTTTATGTGAGATCAGCCTGTCAGTTTTCCACCTCTCTGACCACCCTTTCAGCCTTGTGGCTGGAGGTGCAGACAGAACCCATCCCAACCTCTCAGCACACTGTTTTTGTCCCTGTACTGAAGCCTGTGCATCTCTGTTGCAATACTGCCTTGCACCACGCAAGCATGTTCATTAAGCCATCCAAGACAAATACATCAGGTTTGACTGCAGAACTACAGCTGGGGCACCAACCATGGCTGAGCAGGGCACCCAGACACACGTGCATAAAGAAGAAGCTCCTCCTGCTCCCTCTGCTGTGCAGCATCCTGGTAGATAAGCCACAGCTGCCCTGGGGACAATGCCAGCCCTTCTCTGCCCTGCTGCCATGTGGAGGCAGGATGCTGGCATTGGCTTGCACTAAGTTTGTCTCCTTCCCTGAAGGAAGGAAGGTGTGCATTAATTCGTCACCCCTTGTGCATTTTTACAGCTCTTAACTCCATCCTAAGGTGCCAATGCAATCTTGGTGATCTCTCTCTCAGATCTTAACTCCTAAATTTTATATACAGGCCAGTGTTTATAGGGCAACTGTCATAAGCCCACATTTGTACCAGAAGCAAGTCCCATTACTATTTTCTTCCTAATTCTCTGTGTCAACCAGGAACGATTTTATAGGGTATTTATTTCAGCCCAAAGATTTCCAGTTCTTCCTCGCACTGAATGCACAGTGTGTTTTTGGTCTGATCTTTTCAGACACATGAATAACGATCCCATTTCATGCTGTCATCGCAATTATTTATCTGCGCTGGGGCTTTCCAAAGAAAAGGCTCATTATTTCTTTTGTCAGAGATGCATTGAGAAACAAGTGCTCACATGTGGCACGGAGGAAACAGTCTTCCCATCTCTCTACTAAATGACAGGATGAAAAAAAAGACATTAAAATAAACTACAGACAGAGGCCATGCAATGCTCTGCTGCTCTGTGGTATGGGAAGTGAACCCAGCTGTCCGTGCAGCCAGGTATCACTGATGCACCCCAAAGTTGAAGCGGATGTTTCTGCCTGGTGGTTTACGTTGGTATCTCAGTTTTAAGTCATCCTGCTGTTCTCAGCAACAGCAACGCCAGCCCAGTGATGAAACTTAAGGAACAACAAAACCCAGAAGGCTTAACATCCTTCTGTACAATAACCTTCAACTCTTATCTGGTTTTCTGGCTTCCAGTTCACCAGCTCAGCGTTTTGCCTAAGTGAACTCATGTCCATGTACCACTGAACACCAAATGAAAGCTATGCCTGGACCCAAGCCATCTGCAAAGGGAAAAGCTGCAACTGTGAAGTCAAATGGATTGAAAGCCCTGAATTAAGTCCTTGTTTAGTGCCGAGGTAATCTGTGCTGCTAAACCCAACCAAAACAGCTCTCAGCCAGAAGACACAGGGGGTGTCTACACTGCGTTTAATGACCCTGACGCAATTAATGCCCTTAACTTATGGTCTCCAGACTCTCTGGGTCACCCAAAGGCCAGTGCAGTCACGTAGGCTGGTCATTACACAGGACTGCAGGAGGACGTGCCATCAGCAGCCACCTCTAATCTCCTAATAAGAACTTGACTGTGTCAGTGGTTTAAACCAGCCTGATGGCTTTCGTTCAGGAAAGGCTGGAGAGGTGTTCACACCTCTTGGGCTGCCTTTGGAGGACAGAGAAGACTAAAGCAGTGCCTACAGCCTCACAGCCCAAATGTCTCTGTCATCCTGTGGGCTCATACGGACCTTGCCAACAACAGCATGGCAGTGACTGATAGGCAAAGGTTCAAGGATGAGGCTGTGCATGCAGCACAGGTGTCACACTGGGATCTTCAACAGAAGAGGACTGAAAATGCTTCAAGTGTGAAAATACTTTAAGTACACAGTACTTTAAAGTTTTCTGCCAGTACAAAAAGCTTAGGAAGATACAGCCCCCACCCCAGGACATGTAGCACGGTTCCCATGTGCAACACATATCTGAGAGTAGAGGAAGAGCCCCGTGGCTGATCAACTCCATCTGCACCGCCTTCCTTGAGCAGCAAAACACGGGGCTCTGCAGGGCTGACTCCTAACGTGGTCATTTTCAGCTGCTGCTCTATTTAAAAGAAGCGATTTCAAGCAAATTCTTACTTTTTCCTTTGTCCTCAGCCTCTCTCACTCCCTGAGGAGGTTTACAGACTCAGTCATGGGCTGCGTGAAAAGAAGAGTGAGCAGAAGCACTGCTACCAACAAACCCTTCCGGCACCTCCCAGGTTCTGCCAGCACACAAGGCAGACTTCCACCATGGACAGACGTCCTCCAAACCGGTGCAAAAGGCCACCCTGGTCTCAGTGCCACATGAATTAGCGCTCCTGGTGACATTTTGCACGCTGAGCGTTTCCAGCTCACGCTCTCACCTTCAACCACCAAATTATGCTCAGCTTCTACCCAAGGCAGCTGCAGCACTTTGTGGCTTTGGGGGCAGTGTTCTTCACAAAACAGGAATTTGAAACAAGGAAGGAAGTTCATTCTAATGTCAGGGTTTTTTTAATCCTTTCATCATGTTTTCTGAAGCTGTTTGCATCAGTGGCAGCTCCTCTCTCCTCCAGCAAAACATAGAAGGAGCTGAGGTAGCACATGCAGCAATAGGAGGGAATCATATCTAGCAGCTCTTCCCAGCCCTTCCTACTCTTTCTTAGTGACTTTGTTCCAGTAAAAGTATTCCAACCAGCTCTTCTTCATAGTAATATTTGGCACCTTTCTTCCAGATGAGAAGGAAATGACAACTGCCCATGAGCCCTGTTCTCAATCCAGTGGTCCAGACAAAGGGAGGCTGCACAGATGGAGGCACCAAAACCTGGTCTCACCCTCTGCAAGCGCTGCACTTGACTTGTGAGTGGAGGAAGATCCTTTTGGGTGCTCAGCCAGGAGCCTGGGACCTGAGCCTGCCTGCTTCTCCTGGCCTGCAGCGATTGTGCTCCAGAGAAGGTTGGGGAATAACCAATAACCCCTGGCCCCTCATCTGCCAAGCAACAGCTCTGCATGAGAAAAGAGCGAAAGGAAGGGAACCCAGCTGCTGCAAGGGCTGAGCTGCACATCAAAGTCTAAAGGGCCACCTCAACCCCACTGGTGCCTTTCACTCAGCTCTTCCCATTACCATGCTTATGCCTAAAACGTGTGCAAATTCCTTTTTGTAAAAACACTCCAGCAGTGGGGCCAGCTTGCCACTTTGCTGATATAAAAAATCAAAGTTTCCGTAAACTCTGTCTATTTTAATACCTTGTTTTTTAAAGGTTTGTCACATGCAAGCAATGGCAAGAAAACAAAACTGGCCATGTTCCAAAGTGTAATGCATTCCTCCATTAGTTGTTCTTCACATCCAACCCAGCCCGGCCAGCGACTGCTCCCTGCCAAAGCCCCTCCTCCTGCTTATCCACTTGATGTAAAGTATTCCCATGCTATGGCAGAGACAATGAGAATCATTCCTATAGAGGGTACCAGTCCAGACAAAACATCAAAAGTCAGTCCAGGCAAAATAAAGATATGAGCTCCTGAAAAATGAGGGGAAATAAATGGGGAAGGTCCCTCTGCAAGCCTCAGATGTCCAGGGACTTGGAGACACTCGGTTATCTCAGCCACAGGAGGAGACATAGAACACAGCACTGATGCTGGTGCTGTTGACCTTCCAGGAAAACAATGCTGAGATAACATTGGGCTGAACTTCAGAAGCACTGAGCCCTGGGTCCCCCCGCATGCTGGCTGCTCTTTTTTATCCTAATATTGCACATGAAGAGCTAGGTGGGAAGGAGTTTTTGCCACATACGTCATCAGCTCTTCTGACATCATCTAAAGGATTTGAGAATCTTCCCTGCAGAGCTCCCAAGAACAGCTGGAATTGAGTAGCTGTAATAATCCTGGTGAGAACCCGCTGCAAACGTCAGAGCAGAGCATTCTGAACCCTTCTGATCACCAACTGCAATGCAAAGGCTACAACATATTTTCTCCTTTGATATTTTTTAACTGACCAAACCCTGCCCACATTTAAGTCACTGGAAATCCTTCTCTCTGACCCAGTGAATGCAGCCAAGCCCCGGGGCAGGGAAGACCCATGGAATAGGCAGTGGCATTTCTATGGGCGTGGGGCTTTGCCTTCAGTGCCACAGGCACACCTGGAGGAGGGAGAGATTGTTCAGCACCCAACTCCTCTGCAGTACAAATATAACATAAAAACACAGACCTTACACTTGCTCTATAACTAGAGGAGGGAGGAAGCTTTGCCGGCAGCAGAGCAGCATTATCTACAGTTCATTACAAATGCTTCATACCAGTGTTGTTAAACAGCAGCCACGCCGGGGGAGAAGCTGTCCCACATCCCCCAGAAGTTATTTGGAGCAAAGTCAAAGCTTTGTAAAAGGCATCGAAAGTTGCGATCAGGTGAAGTTAAATATCTCTCTGTTTATCTTTGGCTTTCCCTGGGTTTTGTTGATAATCCACATCCGACAGTGGAACGATCAGCTGCCACGTCTCAACCCGGAGCCCCACGGGTGGGTCGTGCTGTGCCACAGCCGCCTGTTCCCAGCGCATTGTTTGGGGCAGAACCGCAGCTCAGATTTCACCTTCTGAAAAAATCTGAGCAAGCCTTCTACACGAGGTTACATTAGCACCATTTATTGCAAAACAAGCTGTCTGAGTTCATTTTTAGGCACCAAAACGGAACGCTTCTTTGCTCGTCGGCAAGAGGTCACTCTTTGAAAGCGCGGCGCCGAACAATGGGACTCCTGCTAATCGAACCTTTTGTCTTGGTGATGGTGGAGAAGCAATGAGAAATTGTGCAAAAGGGTGGAAAAAGCCCCAAGGATCTTAAGTCCGGGGGTGAAACAAAGGAATGGTTGAACTATGGACTGCAGGGAGTTGTGCTTCATGGCAGCAGGAAACCCAACCGTGCAGGACAGGGGAAGCAGCACCAATTGCAATTCCCGCAAGTTTTCTCCCATCTCTCCCCCTGTATGTGCCAAAGGCATCGGGAAGGAGCTTACCTGTGCACTTCCTCTTAAAGGTTTCATAGTCTACCCCTTGGTCTCCGGGGACGATCGTAGAGCCGTTGTATTTAAACGTCACCCTTTGGGAAGGGGAAAAGAGAAGGGAGACGGGATTTAAAAGTCAGCCTTATGGAAGGCAAAGGAGGAGAAGGGGAGGAACGCATTCCAAAAAACATCCCGGGGAAAGGGGGAAGAGGAGCCGGGGAACAGAGGAGCATCGGTGCCCGTCCAGGAGATGCCGGCACCACGGTGCACCTACCAGTTCACCTCGGTGGCATCGTCCCTGACGAGGTTGTACGCCTCCCTGCACGCCTCCTTGTCGATTTTGGTGGCCATGGGGACGTTCGGGGGAGCGGGCCGGCGGCCGCGGAGCGGCGCGGAGATGAGGACCTCCGCCGCTGCTGCAGCCGCACCGCACCGCGCAGCGCCGAGCCGAGCCGAGCCGAGCCGAGCCGAGCCGAACCCGCTGCCGCCACCGGCCCGCCCCCGCCGCGCAGCGGCTGCCAATGGCCCGCGCTGAGCCGGCCCTCGCCCGCCCCTCCTGGGGCCCGGGGGTGATGCAAGAGCCGGGGGGGGATGCGGGGCTGGGCGGGCGGAGGGCAGGGGGGCTCTCGGGCCCGCCGCGGTGATGCGCGGAGCGGCCGCCGGTGTCCGCTTAGCCCCTGCGGGAGGGAGGAGGAGGAGGAGGAGGAGGAGGAGGAGAAGGAAGGAAGGAGGAGCGCCGCGCAAGATGGAGCAGCGGCGGGGCCCCGAGCCGGGGCGGGCGCACGGCAGGTAGCCGAGCGGGAGGCACGGAGCGGCGCGGTGCGCAGGTAGGAGAGGGGCTGCCCGCCCGTGCCGGGGGATGCCGGCGGTGCCGCCGCGCTGTGCGGGATGCCGCAGCCGCCCCGGCGCGCTCCGGACCGCTCGGCACCGCGGTGAACGGGAGCCGGGCTCTGCCCGCTGCGGGCCGCTCGGGGGGACGGGGCCGCAGCGCTTCAGGTGCGGGCGGCTGGGCGGCTGCGAGCGGCTCGGCCCCATTCGGATGCGGAGATCTCCCCCTGCCGGGCTCCGCTTCCAGTGCTGGAAAGAAACCCGTGAGTCAGTCCGCTAAAGGGAGACGGCGATTTTGGGGCGCAGTGGTGAGGACTGACTGCACTGTGCACGCACAGACGGGTCCTTGGCGCAGCGCTCCTCGGCTTGGAATAGATCGCACCAGATGTTGAGGACCAGAGTCTTAAAAACCACTCCTTGCACGTCTCAGTGAGAATCCACCAAACCCGGGACGTTGGATTTTGCAATTTTAATAATAAAAGAGACCATTCCATGATAAAAGCATCCCATCTCTTTCAGATTGATTACAATTTTTTTACAGTTTTGGGGGATTATTTTTCTATTCGACGCATTGTCTGTATAGTCTGTAAATGGAAAGCCTGAACCGTTTAGAAACCTCATTGCCACTCAGCATTTCCAGAGTCCTCGGGGAGGATCACCTGTGTTACCTGTGGGACGCATCACTGAATGCCACACAGTGTGAAGCTCCAATCCTGCCAGTAGTCTCCTCCATGCTCTGGAATGACGTGAGCTTTGCTATAGAGTCGGGGCCCCAAATGTGAGCTTATTACTGCAGTGCATTGCTGTGATGAAGGTGATGTCATTGGGGACAGAGGAATCTTTGGGAAGGCAGCACAGGTGTAGCACACAGCATGCAGGTGCGTGGCACTCCATACTGTAGGCTCTGGATGATGCTATCACCACACATTAATAGGTCTGAATTTCTATTGATTTCCTTTTGGAACACATTTTCTATATATATGTATATATATATATATATTTAAAGTCTTTATGCTGACCGTGAGTGCTCATAAAAAATACGTTTTTTTCTTAGTCTGCATTCATCATCCATTGGCACTACTGCTATTTATACACGTCCCAGCTGACTGTCCTTGTCTCATCCTCAGCTCCCCGCCTTTCCTGGGGGATGGTGGGTGACCAAAATGGCATTTCCCATAGAAGGAGAAAAGCTCCATCTCTATCAGCTCTGCTATGGCCCAGGAGCTGGAATGTTCCAATTGCATTCACTGGGTTGTATTCAACCCCTCGTATTCAATGCTTCCTCATAGGACCGACCCTTTCCCTTTGCTTCTTTGCCTTTAACACATTTTCACGGATTATTTTTTTTTTTCCTTTTAACGCACGGAGGGGAAAATAACCCGCATTTCTGGCTTCAGCGAGCCCTGATACAGGAGTTTGGAGACTTCCACCTTCTGCACATGGCTCTTTTTTCCTGCTGGGCAGGAAGCCGTTGGTTGGACTGGATATCGTTTCCAACCCTAACGATGCGGGCAACGGCGCCGGCACTCCGAACATCCGCGTGTCCCGTGCGCCCGGCAGCACCGCCGGCATCCCGCACCGCCGGCACCGGGGCCGCGCTGACGCCTCCGCGGCCGCGCTGGATCCCGCCCCTGCAGCACCCCGCCGCCATTTGCTCGCAGCGCGGTCTCCCCGCCCGCTCCGGGGTTGGAGCAGCCGAAGCTCTGCCTCCTGCCCGTCCCACTCCCGGCCCCGGCCTGCCCGGAGCGCCCAGCACGGCGCCCGCGTTTGCTGGGCGAGCCATGGCCGCGCGGGGCGGCTGCGCGGCGGCCGGCGGAGCGGGTTTTCCCCGCGGGAGCGCCGAGCTCTGGTAATGACCTCCTTCCTCCTCCCCTTCCCCTCGGCCCGGCGAGCCGAGCTGGCCCCGCTGCTCTCCTCCCCTCTGCGGGCCGTGGGAGCGGGGAGGCGCGGCCGCTCCTCCCTGGGGCTCGTCCTGCCGCCGGTCCTTCGCGGTTCCTCCGGCCGGGGTCGGCGCTGCTGGGGCTGCCCCACCTGTGGGCATCGGGGTCCGGAGCCCGGCCGTGTTCCCCAGGAAGGAGCGGTCCTTACCCCGGGCAGCTGTAGCGGGGACGGGCGGTGCGGGTAAGCGCTGTGTCATCAGTATTTCGTGCACCGCTCTTCGGTTGTGCCCTATGGCGCCCAACTTGTTGACGCGATGAGCGTTGACGAGAAAAGAAAGAACACCCACCGCGAATGGATCGTATCGGTGTATAACGTTGTTACGGCGCTTTGAGGTGCGCTGCTGACCGCTTCTTTCTGCCTTTGTTCCAGAAGCTCCGCGGCTCAGCCCGCCATGGAGAGCACCAGGCAGACCAGGATTTGCCGCCCGCACAAAATCAGCGAGTCCTCGAAGGTTGGTTTGTGTTCTGTGCCAATAAGTGAGGGGAATCTCCTTTCCATGCGCTGCTTGGATGGAAAGCGAATGTTCTGAGCTGTTAGAAGGACGTGTGAGAGCAGCGGAGTGCCTGCACACAAGGCTTTGATTTCAGAAGCAAGTTGCTCTCTAATGGCTTTGGTTTTTTTTTTTAAAGAAAAAAAGCAGCAGCGAATGAAGAGCTGCTCATCGTGACTCATAACTTAGAAAAGAAACCCACACCATCACAGCAGTGTTTGCTCTGCGCCAAAGCTTCACTCATTAAACGAGATTTATTTTGGGAATTTTACGTATTGACCCATCTCACCAAATCAAAGCTAGGATTACTTTTAGATGTCACCTTCATTCTGTAGATGAGAGCCTTGATCCCACAGGCAGCTGTTCTGAGGAACTCAGGGTTTCCTTAGGTTTGCAAAGGTAATTGTTTTGGTATGAGATCTCTGTCTGAAATAATCCATTGGCCCCAGTTGGGAATCTGCAGAAGGCCCTTGCAGGTGAGCTGAAGATGATGACCTCGGCTTTGCAAGCTGTTAACATAGCACTAATTACTGCGTTCACTTTGTTTTGTACCAGTGACATTTGGTTCTGGTGTGAGCACTGGGTGCTGCAGGCAATGAACCTTTCACTGCCAGCAATTGCTACAATTTTCAGTGCCCAGATCTGTGTTACCAAACTGGAATGAGACAGATCTCATGTCCCTCTGCGTCCCTCAAGAGTCCTGGTGCTGCTTTAACAGTTAATTACATCTTTGAATCCAAAAAGTTAACATTCTGAAAGCTATAATAACAAAAGATAAGGGATAAACAGAACAGATCTTTAAATGCATCCCTAGCAATGTCATCTTCTCCTGGGTGCTGGACCTGCCTGCCATTTTCGTAGTTTATTCTGAACGTACCAATGATTCATCTTATTAAAAATCAATTAAGTTGACAGCATTGTTTTGTTTTCTTGTTTAGACAGCAGCTGTCACTCTGTTAAACTTGGTGTTATGGATGATGCTGAAGCTGTCCTGGGGCCTATATATAATATAATATGTAATAGCTTGTGAAAGCTGCTTGTATTTATCATAAAATTTGTCTTGCTTTAGAAAAGTGCAGCTATCAGCTTCTGTCATTTGCTCACTGTACAAATGGAAGTGTGAAGCAGCTGCACAATTTTTATGCTTGCTTTCTGAAGTAGCAGCAGCTCCACACAGCAGCACGGGTTTGAGCAGTACAAGTTGTGCTGTGTGTTTGTGGTCAGGATTATTGCTGCTGACTGCACAGCTGGTTAAGTCAGTAGGAATCTCTGGCAACTCCTGCAGCCTGGTGTAATCTCGTTATGCACAATGGTGCCATTAGGGAATATCAGAGAAATGATCAGCCACTTACAAAGACTTATAAAAACATACAACTATGCTTTGGGTTTAATCCGATAACTTTATCCTGTGAGTCAGACTCAGAGCGATGTTTATTGTCTCTTGTCCTCTGTCCTCCACCACAGCTGCTGCAAATGTATGGTCTGTCCTTTACTGCTTTTATTCTTCTTCCCACCTCCTCTGCTCCCTGAACTCTGCTTGAGCATCTTCATTTCTCAAGATAAGGAACATGAAGATGAAACTTTCTAAAGCTTAAAACCTGTGTATTTTCTTCTGGTGCCTCTCTCGGGCAGTGTTACTGTTCCCTCAAAGTTACCATCTTAAGTTCAGAGAATATGATGAGGCAGAGGGTGAGAAAACTGAAGAGTTTAGGCCCAGAAAACTTAGAGTTATTTATTGAAGCCCCATCACTTGGGTTGGTTTAACTCTGTGTGTTTGTGTGTAGAAAGTTACTCCAACAGAAGCTTTGTGGGAGCTTAGCCACCATTATTTAGACAAGAACATAAGCAAAACCCAAGGGAGACCAGTTGGCTGTCACTGAGACATCTGGTAAAAGTCCCTTTAGTCGAAGTCTAAATAGAGAAGCAGACAGAGGTCTGGATGTACTGCACTTCCCTCTGCCCCGAGTGTCAACAATGACAGTGTGATTATGGAGAAACCGTCAAGTTTTGACATTTGGTGGGGATGTGAAAAGCAAATTCTTATGTAAAAGTTAAATACAGTGGGTTGGTTTGTTTGGAGCAGCTTCGAGGCGAGAAAGTTGAAGCTCTCAGGGAGCAGTCATGGCCCTCGCAGGTTCTTGCTGAGGCTGTCAGGTGTATGTGGAGGGCTGTTCCATACACTCTGGACCTGAATTAGAAAGTAAATGACCAGGGTCAGTTTTACCACAGATGCCTGCTTCTGGGTATGTCGTGTTAGGGAAGCAAGCTTGCTGTTTAGCTTGGAAATGCTGCTGCACAGCTGAACAATCACTATTGCAACACATTTGGTTATTAATTTGGGTTTAATCTTTGGCAGCCTGCCTGCTGCTGTACCACAGCTGCTAAAAGGCAGATGTAGGAGGTCATGCTCCCAAAATTGGCATTAACTTTGGACGATTGGCTGCCATCGTGTCTGGACAGTGGTGAGCTATGCATGTTAATCCTGCTTATCGTGTAATTTGGTAATCATCCTTTTGTACATACAAGACTGAGTATCTAGAGTAAGGTTTGAGCACAGGGGAAAGAACTTGGCCCTAGGGCTTGAACTTTTCTCATCCAGGTGGGTAGAGAAGTTGTTCCATTGCAATTGTCCCACATTAATGGCTTGGCCTAATGGAAATAATCATGTGATTTCTGCTTAGGATCAGGGAATGCCAAGGATATTTAGGATTTGCAGAGCAGAAAGTGAGAATCCGTAGCCTAGGAATGGAAAGGCTGAATGCCTGGGCAGCTTGAAGAGACATCAGTCCATGTGTGACCACTTCCAATGTAGATAAAGGCTGAGGCACCTTTACAAGATGTCATTTCTATGAATGCAGGCTGAAGAACTGGGCAAGATCCAGCCTTACAGCCAGTGCTGTTTAGAACTCATGTAGGTACAGTGTAAAGACGTGCTTCCTTTCTACCTCCTTTCATTTATTTCACATGTTCTCACAACCATCTGTTTGGGAATTGGTAATTAAAGCTGTGAATTTGCTTTTAATTTAACCTGGCTTTTATTAAGAGAGCTCATAAGGTAACTGACTGTACCATAAGGCATTCTGCTCCTTCGCAAGAAAGAGCCCCAGAGTGGTGTCACTCGATGCAGCTCTTTCTGTAGCTGTTAGGCAGGGCATGCAAGGGGTGACAAAATAACTCTGATTTGGTTCTTCTTAAGACTGGTGAGCAGGTGAGAAGGAAGGGAACACAGGTTGCCTCCAAAGCTCTGAGGCAGGTACAGAGCAGTGGGAAGAATGCCTGGGGGCAGAACATTCCCAGAAGGGCACTTAACAGAGGGCGTTTTCCACTTTCTTTAAAAGAGAAATATTTAGCCTTGTTCATTACAACAAAAGCTACCTGGCTTCTGGAAGCATGTAATAGTTTTCTTATGGGAGTAAGTTATTCATGTGTGCATCTTTGCACATAAATAAACAGCTATTCAAAAATGCAGCGTGTGTGTCTGGGATAATAAGGAAAGAGAGGAATTTTACCCTCACGAGCTTACCAGTGCACAGTGCTGACAAGGCTTGGGAGGGGGCAGCTGTCAAGCAAGCACTAACCCAAACAGTGCAGGGGTTGAGGGAAAATTTGGCATACTGCTGTATGCGTGTCTTCTTTAGGCAGTAGCTTAGTTGTGAAGAGCTCTGTAAGAAGTCGTTTGTGGGACAGGAAAGAAAGGAAATGTCAGCATTGTATCTTGAAGACAATGAGTGGAAGAGTTTCAGAAAATTGTGCCCGTGTAAATCATCAGGGAGGCTGTTTGGATGCAGCACTGTGGAGGAAGTAGGAGTGAATTATAACTGAAATGGATAGGAGGAAGCAGGCAGAGCCTGCATAGGCCATTGCAAGTGAGGAGAGGCACCTGGGCTTATCGTGTGCTGGGTGCCAACAGTTTCAAACCAGAATTTGCTATCAATGTACAACAGAAGTCACTTTTTCTTATGTGTAAATACATCTAATGGGAAAATGCTTGGTGAATGCTGAAATTCTTCTTGATGAGGATAACACACCTGAGACTATGTGTAGTTTTTTTGATTCCAGGTGTACAGATGGGATGACCATTCTAGTCTGGTTCTTCAGAGTCTGAACGAACAGAGGCACCGAGGGCTCTTCTGTGATATCGTCCTCGTTGTGGATGAGCAGAGAGTCCCTGCCCATCGGAACCTCCTGGCTGTTTGCAGCGACTACTTCAACTCTATGTTCACCATTGGTATGAGAGAAGCTCATCAAAAAGAAGTTGAACTTTTTGGAGCCTCTTACATTGGTCTCAAGGCTGTGGTGGACTTTCTTTACGGAAGTGAGCTGTCCTTGGATGGAGGCAATATTGATTACGTGCTCGAAACAGCTCACCTGCTGCAGATCTGGAAGGTTGTGGACTTCTGTTGTGAGTATCTGGAGAATGAAGTCAGCGAGGAGAACTATTTGTACCTGCAGGAGCTGGCCTCTATCTACAACCTGAAGCGCCTCGACTCCTACATTGATTCTTTCATCCTGCAGAACTTTGGCACGCTGTCTTTCACTCCAGACTTCCTGCAGAACGTTTCCTTGCAGAAGCTGTGCCAGTATCTGGACAGCAGCAATGTGCAGCAGGAGTGCGAGCATGATTTGCTGCAGGCTGCCTTGCAGTGGCTTACCCAGTACCCAGAAAGGGAGAACGAGGCTTACCAGGTTCTGGATAACATTCACTTTCCCTTGATACCTAAAAGCGATCTCCTCCATCGAGTCAAACCTGCTGTGTGCTCCCTTCTCCCCAAAGAAGCAAACTGTGAGGGCTTCATAGAAGAAGCAGTAAACTACCATAACAACGTCACTGCTCAGCCAGTGCTGCAAAACAAGCGGACAGCCCTGCGGACCTGCGAGGAAAGGCTGCTCTTTGTTGGGGGGGAGGTTTCCGAACGGTGCCTGGAACTGAGTGATGATACTTGTTTCTTGGATGTCAGAAAGGGGCAGTGGGTAGCAGAGACCCCTCTGCCAGCCAGACGAAGTCACCACTGTGTTGCAGTGCTGGGAGGTTTCATCTTCATAGCCGGAGGCAGCTTTTCAAGAGACAACGGAGGGGATGCGGCTTCAAACCTCCTATATAGGTATGATCCCCGCTGTAACCAGTGGATAAAGGTGAGGCTTAAGCTGTATTATTTCTCTGTATGAAGTTCTTAATGTTCAGAGTGTTTTCATCTTTTTGGTGGAAGGAAAGGATGTGTTAAAATAGCTAATGTGCCAACCCTTGGAAATGGAAAAAGAATGAGTTATTTTAGTGGAATCTTTGGTGGGAATGTTTAAATTCTGCCCTGAACTCTTGAGCTGCATGCATATTTTCAACTCCACTTGGGATCTGGGTATCTAAGCAGTAGAATTCCTGGACAGTATCCACCTGCAACTCTTTAGGTAACCTAAAATAGACCTAGATGTGACTGCACAGCTCTTCTGTTCTGAGCAGTAGCACATGTAACTAAACAAGAGATGGGTCCGATGCAAAGGGAAAACATCTCTGATATTTGCCAAACGTTTCTGTGCTGCTTTGGAGTGACTTATTCACTTACAGTCCTGCCATAAAACCCTGAAACCAGTGCAGTATCTGTAAAACGTGATATTGTTCCTATGTTTTGAAGCAATCATCCTGTGAGGTTCAGTTGGGTTTTTTGGAGTGCTTCCAATGTACATCGCTTGCAGAGTTTGGGCAGGTCATCCATGTGAAACTGAAACGTTCACAGAGTGAGCTCAGGTGCTTCCTGCTGTCTCCTGTTTTGTGAATAAGTGCAATGTACCGTGCTCCTGCAGGAAGAACCACAAGTGTTTTATGAATGTAATGGATAAAAAGTGGTAGCTTCTCAAATAAAAGGGAAGAAGCAATTATCCTCAGGCAGCAGTGTACACTGTCAGCTTGCTTACCAGGTGTTTGAAGATGTCAACATGTTATTTCTTGGCAGGTTGCCTCCATGAGACAACGTCGTGTGGATTTCTACCTGGGAGCTATAACTGACATGCTGGTAGCTGTTGGTGGCAGGAACGAAAATGGGGCTCTTTCTTCAGTGGAGACCTATAGTCCTCAGAAGGATTCGTGGTCCTATATAGCAGGCTTGCCAAGGTAACGGAGATATTTGGAAGGTTGTCCTGTGTTTGAAGGATAGAGGGAGCTTACATGATGAATGGCTATCCTTAGAAGGGAAGCAAGGGGCAATATGACCAGCATGTTATTGCAAGTAGCAAACTCTATCAGCATGTGTTATTTGAGCAACCATCTCTTCCAAGCAATGTGTGTTTTCAATTTCTGTCCCGCGGAACATCTGAAGGACAGAAGAGATCTTGTGATTTTGCTCTAGTGTTCTTGAAACGTTTTTCCCAAGGTCTCTTGGAGTTGAGTTTCAGAAGGCACTGATTAGATGTTGGCTGAAGCCTTTTATAGTTTATTTGGCCTTGCTTTGTCTCTTCAGAGTGGTGGTTGTCCTGTCAGATGTTTCTCTCTGGCTGCTTAGATTGGCTGTTGCAAATGAACCACATTTACCTATATTTCAAATACCAGATAACTCTGGCAGATGTGACCCTTCCCCCATGTGTGCAGAGTTACAAACTTAGCTGGTTTGCTTTTGGAAGTCTTTAGTAGTGCAACTCTTACTGTAAGTAACACCAGTTCAGGATATTGAATTGTTTGTGTGATAGAATAGTGTTTCATTTGCAAACAGCTACTGAGGTTTTGTAGTATTTCAGTCATCAAAGTTATAGGGGTGTTGGCTGTATGGATGGCATTTTTGTGATGTCTGCAACCTGCAGTACCTGCTTTCTTAGAATCACTTAGAATCATTTGAATTCGGAGTTCATTTTTTTCCCCTATTCCCCTTGTTGCAGAGCCATTGGCAGCCACTGGAGGCACAGAAGCCTGCTGCCCAGTTCTGTTTTGGGCAGGTGCTGCAAAGCAAGTCTGATCCAAGCTAACAGTTGGGCTTGAGTGCTTTTAGGAAGCAGGATGCTTTCTCTGTTTCCTTCTGCTCGCACAGGCAGGTCTAGCAGTTGAGACTAAGCACCACAGCCTTTCCTGAGAGGCTTCACGTGAGGAAAGCCTTCTAGTAATTGGGATGACCTGTGAGATGGCAGTAACATCTCATAGAAATTGTAGCACAGCTTTTTTTTGGTAACATTTTTGATGAAATGTGGACATGACCTGAATGCACTTTATGTTGCTGGAAAAACACTTTGTAACAGACCTGGGTATGTTTTTCCCAGCATTTAGATGGTCTGAGGGAAGCTTGCACGGCTGGCTTAAGGCAAGCAGGCTGTCTGAAAAGAGGCAGTCCACGTGTTCCTACCAGTACCTCTGTGTTGGCTTTGAGAATTTTGCAGCTGCAGCATTTAAAAGTGAACTTTGGTTTGGGGAGGTTTTCTTGGTTTTGGTGTTGTTGTTGTTTTTTATTAGATTGCCTAAGCAAAAGTTCCCCTCATGGGAGACATCCCACTTATGTTGATTTAGCTGGTTGATAAACTGCTGTAGTACTGCAAATATTTTAAGTTATTGCTGCATCCCAAAGTTGTTCTGTGTTTTCTCCTGCCTGCTCTGTCCTGTTCCTTCATGCAGGTTGCAGAAAGGAAAGTCAGGATAGAAGTGAACGACATTTCTTAAGGGAGGGACAAAAATATTGCTGGAGCTCGAGGAGAGGTGTGACTGGCAGTAGACTGGCTGCAGGAAGGGTTCTGGGCAGTCCTTTGCTGATGTGCTTCAGATGTGTTTGCTGACAGCGCTGGAGGGATGAAAGACTTGTCTCTGCACAGCCTTTTGTTTCCTGTGTTCTTCTGTCATCTTCTCTTTGAAGAAAAAATCTGCAGGTTTTTGTCCTCTTAGGCACATGGCCAGCAGAAACAGGCGCCCTGCCCATGGCTCTGGTGTTGTCTCTGTCTGCTCTCAGAAGAGGAATTGTCTTCCAGGCAGTTGCTGGAGGGAAGTGTTAAATCGCTCTAGGGTATTGGCTTACATAGTTTGCTTTGAGCTGTGTGACGTTGGACTCTCATAAGATATATTTGTCAAAGGTTCTACTCTGAACATACATAAAATGCAGGGGTTTTGTTTGTCTTTGTGATTACTTTTTTCTTCTTGGAAGGGTCATAGCTTGCCGTGGCAGAGGTTGCATCCTTGCTACACAAGTCTCCATTTCCAAGTTCTACATCCACAGTACTGTGTGCAGGAACTGCAATGCTTCTCTAAGGAAGACCTTTCCAGGCTCTTTTTTGCTTCATATTCCTCCCCACCCCCTTCCCATCCCAACATGGTCAAAACGTTGTTTTCCCTCACCACGTCCTTGGAAGGAGCAAAGTTGTTTTGACTGAAGTAGTGCTGTCTTCTGGAAAAGAAAGCACAGCATCTTGAGGCAGGTGCTTGACATAGGAAGCATTAGCCACGCTAAATGATGGACCTTGCCCAAGTCTGCTACAAGTGAGACCTAAGTCTGTTCCAAGTGAATGTTGCCTGAATCTCATTAGAGTCTTGAGCTTTCCCATTCGTAGGAGAGGTCTCTATCTTTTTATGCACTTTCTCAAGCTCTTTGGAAGCAGTTGCTGACATAGTTTCTAGCCCACGAGGGAACGGCGGTGACTGACGAGTTTGGCAGAGCAGAGGTTTGTGCAACGTGTTCTCATTTTGAGTAGACTTTGAAAAAGTCTGCTGTAGACATCAGTGTAATTAATTGAGTGGCTCCAGGTTAAACTTTGGCAGAACAACTGAAAGCAGTTGTGTGAGGAAATGTGTTGGAACAGGTTAATAAATGTTGGTGTCTGTTCTACTAGTCGTGTCGTGAATAATCTTGCATGGTTGCAACAGGTGGACATCAAGATTCTGAGCAACCACAGCTCGCCAGGGCTTTGCTTGGAGTAGGGGATTCCCAAAGCTGTATCAACTTAGGCCAAGTGCGTGGGGTTTCTTCTGCCTAAGAACATAAATTGTAGATAGTGCTCACCAAATGGTGTTACTGTGACAGAAGCTGTAATTTTGGCAGCGTTATGTCTGGGAAAGATTCAAAATTGGCAGTTGGCTCTAATAGATGTTCTGAATTGAAACTTCTTTCTCCTTAACGCCTTTATCTTTTTTCTGGCCACTCTTATAGATGGTGCTGCCAAAACACTCACTGCTTTCTGTCAGGGGATGTCTGGACCCATGGCATTGAAGTGTCCTGTTGTGTTGCACGCTTAGAAATACTGCTGTTGAAACCACATGGCTTCTAGAAAGGATTCTTACTGATTGTTCTCAATTTGTGCATTAGGTTTCATGCAGTTTCTATTAATGTAAAGCTGTGTGAGTACAACTTTGAATGATCTTTTCATACGTCAGCCAAAGTGAAAACACCTCTAAGCTATTTCAACAGTACTATTTCCCTGTACTGGAAAATAACAAGTTGATGGCCAATTTTATGATTCAGATAGGATAGCCTTTTTCAAATTACTCTTGTAGCCATTGCAGTTCACTGGACGTTGCCGGATGGAGGCAAAAAGGAAAGCAGAAGTGCTTTTTTTGTAGCTGTCTATGCTAGACTGCCTTCATGCGCTTGAGAGTGGATTGTGCCTGTTTCTTATTTGCATAGAATTCCTCTTACTTGGTACTGTAGGAGAATATTCATCCTACTTCTCTAAATATCACTGGTTATTTTCTTATCTTCTGTTTTTTTTCCCAAACATTGTCCATCCTTACTTCCTAGATACTCTACCTTTTAAGACCCATCCGTGTGTATATAGAGAAGCATCTGCAGCAACCTGATTCAATGCCACCTGAGGCTTATGCTGCCAGTTCTTGTCCCTAACAGACCAACACAAGGTAGAGATGCATCTAATCTACCTTACACCTGCCACAGCATTTCTGGCAGGTGCAAAAGTAGGAATGTGTGTGCGCAGGGAATTTTGTGTCAAATAGACATACCAAGCATGAGTGCTGTTCTCCCAGAGTTGGGCAGATTGTTTTTGAGGAATTTTTGAGTTGTCTTTTTGCATAACACCTTAGTCCTGTCCTTTTTTTCTGGGTGGCTAACAGGCAGTGTCATTCTGAAGCATCAGCCCTTGTTAGCTGTCCTGGCCACTCAGCATTCTTAGGTCAAGCATGTCAACGATTGTTCTGTTTCTTGAAGTAGGAGCTTACTGACATGTCTGATTCAGACACTGGTCAGGGATCAGAAGTTTTGGTAGACATATAGAATAATGAGCTTCTTGTAGCTGTTCTCCAAAGTATCATGCTTTCAGGGTAAATGTGGGCTTTCTTTCTATTGCACCTATTCTCCTGGCATAACAGCACTTGGCGTTTATGTGTGGAAGAAGTTAGTGTAGCTGAGACAAACTCTTGCATTACAAAATAAAAACACCTTCAGGTTCTATCCACACTGAATTTTAAGCATGTTGAGGCACAGTTCAAAAGCATTCCTGGCTAAAGTAATGCTAACATAAGTTTGTCTGCTATAGAGGTTGAGTTGTTGAGACCATGACTACAGAGGATGGTAGCGGAGGCTCATGAGCGCAGGGTGAAGTATACATTGTTCTGCAGCCTTGGGACTGTTAAATTGTTTGGGCTCTTCCTATCAATTTTGCCATGGCTGGTACTGCAGCTACTTCTTTTAGAAAGAAAAGAGAGAAAAAAGGCACGTGCAGGAAGGGTATGTTCAAGGAAGCCAAGGCTGTCCCTCACTTAGCATTCCTCTTCTAAGAGCTCAAAAGGGTTTGGTTAGAATTATCTGAGTGTGAAGTTAAGAAAAGCCTCAAGAATTGATTTTGCAGCAGCTTTATTACAGCTGATCAAAGAGGTTTTCTCTGTGCCCTGTGGAAACAGCATGTCTGAAGTTGGTTTCTATCATCTTGTTTCGTCTTACTTGAAAGGTGGTCTGTGATTGAAGCTTGTTGCCTTGTGTTGGGGCGACCAAAGAAGTTATCACCTGCTTAGCAGAAGTGGTAGAGCAGCAGGTAGATAGCTCGGGTATCATGCCCATAAATAAAAGGAATTCTGTCTTTAGTTACTGCCTGTTTTCTTCAGCGCTGCTTCTCGTTGAATGCTTGTGCATTTTGCTAAAATCCTTAAGTACTAAGCTGGGTTGTTTCTGTTTGTCTGTCCTAGGTTTACTTACGGCCACGCTGGAACAGTCTACAAGGAATTTGTGTACATTTCAGGTGGCCACGATTACCAAATCGGCCCGTACCGAAAAAACCTGCTGTGCTACGACTACCGCACGGATGTCTGGGAGGAGAAGAGACCAATGATCACTGCCAGGGGGTGGCACAGCATGTGCACCTTACAGGACAATATCTATTCTATTGGTGGCAGCGATGACAACATAGAAACCATGGCTCGTTTTGACATTCTGAGCGTGGAGTCGTACAGCCCTCAATGTAACCAGTGGACCAGAGTTGCTCCTCTGCTGCAAGCTAACAGTGAGTCAGGGGTGGCTGTCTGGGAAGGCAAAATTTATATACTTGGAGGCTACAGCTGGGAAGAAACGGTCTTCTCCAAAACAGTCCAAGTTTATGATAAGGAGAAAAATAAGTGGTACAAAGGAACTGATTTACCCAAAGCGATTGCTGGTGTGTCCGCATGCGTCTGTGCACTGAAACCCAAAACAGAGGACAAAAAGAAAAAGACAAAAACAAAAAAACATCAGGATCGGGGAAGATGACTGCTTCTGGATAACCACCCTTTAATGGTGGGCTCCCAAGGACCCTTGTATTTATCATTTCTTTCTAACCTTGATTCTTTATTTTTCTTTTTAAATAGGGGGAAAAGGTATCTTCTGAAGCCTCACAAACGTACAGTGAATGTGTTTTTTGGATTAAGCTCACATTTAAGGTCAAAAGCAAGAAAAAAAAAACACCCCAAAATCTCTTTTACTTTGTAAGGGGTGATATGGCAAGAGAGGTTATGCTAATCTCCTGAATGTTGAGGATTAATTTTTGTCACCTGTGGTTTTTGGCATTCTCACACATATTCTGTTACGCTGACATTTTAAAAATAAGGTTGAATCTTTGGCTGGGATTATAATGACAAAGGTGAGAGGCGGAGTAGAAAGTGATGAGCTTGAAGTTACAGAGCAATTCAAAGGAGCTCAGAAGCTAAGAAGAAAATGAAATGGGTCTTCAGTGTTGTAAATCTTGGGGTTTTTTTTATTATTTCTTTCAGTAACATTAGATGCCATTTACAGTACATTTTTGAGTTTTAAGTATCAGATTTCTGGAACACTCGAGCATTCAAAGAAAGTATTTCTTTAGGTGAATGCAGGTCAGATCAGCTTGAACAGCAACTAACTCCACTGTAGTCTTTAGATTAAGAAGGCCTTATTGTGTGGCCAAAGAATAGATGGGAGCTGACTGGGGCTTGGATTGATAGCGTTGTGAACTTTGAAATCTGGGGAAGGTGATATGAATTTTGCACGCCTTGTTGCAACATTTTCCCTATTTAGATACGAGAGCTTGTTTTTCTTAGGCTTTAAAACATGCCCTGCAGTGAGGAAAAAAAGCTATTAAAGTAGTAGAAAAAATATTTGAAGATTTGGATGGAAACTGCTGTGTTTTTACTGAGCTTTAAACCAGTTGGGATTGGAAGAGTTCACCATGAGTTTGGGGATTCTTGAGTAGCGTTCCAAGGAGTGGGGAAATGACAGAAGGATTCTGTAGGTGAGCACAGAGCAGGAGTGTGTCCTTCCCCAGCCCTGCCAGCCTGTATGAGCTGGGATTTGCTTCCTTTGAATGGAGCTCGCAGTGGTCACGGCCAGTAGCCAGTGTGAGCAGGGGCCAGATTTGCCTTCTGACAAACAGCAGACCAACCAGGATGATGAATTTTGGGGTTTGGTAATCCTGTGGAAGAGAAACTTGATTATTTTTTTTTACCTTAGCTGTCAGCTCATGCTTTCCTTGTCTTTCAAATTCAAACTGGCTTTTCCTGAGAATGGCCTTTTCTGTTTGGTTTTGTCAGGATTCCAAGCCACATTTCATCAAGCTTGCAGAAGAACACCTTCCCCAGCGAGGCAGGTCCCATAGGAAGAAACCTAAAATACTCTCAGGACTGCATTTGGGATCTGGACAGTAGGACCAAACTGAAAATTGTCTGTTAGATCCTCTGTCTCACGCTGTTCTCTGCCTACCAAGTGAAGAGATTTCTGACCCAAGTGTTAGTTCACCCTCTACAAACACAGCTGATTGTGCTGTAGATAATGAAATTCCCCGACTGTCTGGCCGGCTTTCAGGCATTCACCCTGGGGCATTTTACAAACGCACCTCTGATTTGCAAGGAGTGGATCACCAGCAATCTGATACAACCACTTCAGTTATTGTTATGATGCCAGGCTGCAGATTAACATTTCTCCTTCCCAGAAGAGTAAGTTTTTAGAAACTTTTTAAAAACTTTTATACTTTTTATAACGCATTTTGCTAACTCAGTCTTGTTTGCCATGTAATATATGAGTAGGGGAACTACTGCTCTGTAATTGTGGCTGCCGTGAGAACTCCTAATTGGACGGCCCTTTTAGTCTTTGTGTAGTTGGTTGGGATGTGATGCAGCTGTCAGAGCAGCATTTACATTCCCAGCATTGTCAGGCAGTCAGCTATAATTGTAACCATTGTGTGGCCGCTCCACTGATAGTCCAGCTCACCAGACATGTTAATAAACACATTTTCTTTTCAGCCATTGGGGATCTGCTGAGTGGTTTGGTTTAAAATTCTGCTGGGGAAGTATTGATTCTAGTTTTTGTTTGTTTGGTTTTTTTCCTCCTCTCTTCCCCTTTCACATCATTCCTGTGCACCATAACCACGTATTTCGGATTTGCCTTTTTCTTTCCATACAGTGTACATAGAGGTGATGTCCTGCTAATATCCTGCTTAACTCCCTGGTTTTTGTTCATGGGATTTCTGTTGGTTGCTTTTGTTGGTTGGTTTTGGTTAGTTGGTTGGGCTTTGGGTTGTTTTGGTTTGTTTTTTTTAGCAACTATTTACCTCATTAATTGGAAAACACTAAGAAAACATTTTTGCACTTAATGTCATTTGAAGCTCTTGTAATTTAGAGAGCTCTTAGTTATATTACAAGAACTTCTTTGCATTGAAAGATGTACTTCTGAAGGAACTTCTGGAGTGCAAGGAAGTGACCGGTGTCTTCTTAGGTGCTCAAAAATGATTGAGGAAAACTAGCTTAAATGACTTCTTGGAAACTCCTTGAAGTTTTGTTTTTCTTATTTGTTTAAAAGAAAAAAACCCAAAGTAGTTAATCTCATTTGCATTAATGAATTTGTTCTAAGGCCTTTGTACACTGCATGAGGTAATCATTTTTTGAAATTCTAAAACTAATTAAAATTTGGTTATGACAAACATTAATGAGTTGTGAGGCTTTTTTTTTATATATATCTGAGATCCTAGCTATGATGACTGAGAGCTACTTAACTTTAGGGGACATTTTCATGTGTAAGTACAGAAGGAATGTCAAGGCCTTGCTTTGTTTTTGTTAATGGATTGCCTGTTCCTATATTTCCTTTGCCCTCCCACCCATTTAATTGTGTTTGTGTAATACATTAATGTCTAGAAAAAAAAAATAAACCCAGCTTAGAATATTGTATTCATAACTGTCTGACCTGTGGATTGTTTTAACTGTTCTTTTCCTTATTGACAACTTGGAAACAAGTGAATTTGTAAATATTTGAGCAATTATTTTAGGTAGCATTGGTAATGATGGAAACATTTCAGCAGGCAGGAGCTAAATATAACAGTTGGAAGTAGAAATGTAAATTCCTTGGCTAATCCACCTTTTCTGCATCCAAACCAGGCAGTCAGAAATTACTTTTTGCATCTTTTGCAATGCTTACAAAAACCCAATCCATTTTATGGTGCTTTCAAAGATTAGTGTTCCATGGGGATTAGGTCAACACGTTTAGGACTTCATAACACCACGCTTAATTGCATAGGCAGAATATAACCTCGGTTCTCATCAAAGCTTTACTTTTCCTGGTCCATTTATCCTCTTTTCAAAATAAACAAAGGCTATAAATGAGTGTATCTGATACTACCAGAGGTCACTGGGGTATCCTACCTGTTGTTGCTGTAAATTTCATCACCATTTGCCAGACCCAGGGCAGTCTGCAGTGCTAAAAGCAGAGCCTGGCAGGGTGCCCCTTCGCTGTGGACGCTGTGTGCCTGGACTTGGCTCAGCATCACTGGGGAAGTGGTAGGAGCCTGTTAACTAAGAGCACATCCTGCTTCACAGTAACTTCTGGTCCTGAGCGCTGATCTGCTTTGTGAAATCGGTGCGCTGCAATTTTGCACAAATGAAATGGAGAATATGGATGAATGAATGAATGTCTGCTTTGATGCTCACAGTCCAAGCAGCCCTCTGTGCATGTGTAGGATGGGCAGAGCAGAGGCAGTATCCTACTGCTCTTACAGAATCAGCCTGGCTCTGAACATTCCACAGCCTTCATCCATAAGCTCTGTACAATGTTTCTGGTCAGGAAGCACAGCTTTCTTCCTGCTCTGGGAGATAAAATTGCTGCTTTACCTCATTTTAAAGAAGGCTCCCATTGCCAAATTCTGATGAAAACACATTTTACCTGACACAGAACATCAACCAAAACCCTCTGTTTCTCTCTTCCTACACTTCCACCACACATGCATCTCGGCATCAGCACGTCAGGGAGCTGCTGCCTGTTAGAAAACAATGCTAACATTAGATAACAAAAATCTCTTGGGATACCCTGAGGAAAAATGATGTGAGATGCAGTTGTTTTGAAAGCTTGAGTAAGAAGTATGAAATATTTTTGTTTTCAGGCTGAAATCTTACATCGAGAAAAATGTGCCTACGTGTGTCTTTCCTCTGTAAAAGATCAGACTGCTTGTTTTTTCAAGTGCTGGTGTATTTTGCTTGCTGTTTGGGAATCGGTATTATTGAGTGGCAGCAAAAAAGGTCTCACTTCTAGAGAATGTAGAGAAAGAATTGAACACTTAGCGTTCTTTCACAGAAACGATCTACCTTGCAGAATAAAAGCCCAACTTTGTAGATTCTAATTGTGATTATTATCATGAACTTACAGCTTTGGTTTGTCTCCAGACAAAGTCAGGGCAGACACAGGCCTTGACCAGGTGATGATGCTGTCTCTGCAGTGCAGGTTTGTGCATAAACCAACTTCAGCTCCTTTCTGAAGGTTTCCTTTCTGGCAGCTCCACTCCTGATGAGAGAGACACGGTCCAGTGTCAGGTTTGTTGATGCCACGTGCATTTTTTTACCATTACATGGGCTTTTTCTGGATCTCCAGCTTTGGAGTAAACATTTCTTTGTTTTTATTTTGGTGAGTTCAGTGACAAGTGTTGAACAGAATTTGAAAGGAAGGTAAGACAGAGAAGTGCAGGTCCTTTGGAGATTGCAGCCCTGAAGTAGACTATTGCATGAGAGGGCAGAAAGCTTGTATTTAAGACAAGGTTGGACAAGACACAAATAATGCAGCCAAAGGGTCTGCATAGGTAACTGAAACACAAATATATTGAGTCAAGCATCTACATGATCTGTCAAAGACTTGCCCAGGCTTGAAAATTGTTTCAGGCTAAATTGAACTAGTTTATGCTTAAGTTCCTTCCATCAACAAATGAAGTGCATTTGTAGCAGTTTTCTATATTCATGGGAATATGGATTTCGGAAGCAACATTTTGTTACTGTTTTTTCAGAATAACACATCCAGTTTTGTTCTGAACTTTATTCAATAAACTGGTAGTTTACTCTGCCAGTAACCATTCCTGCTCTGCTGCTATCTTGATTTCCTTTGGTAAACCCTGGGTGCCTGGTGCTGGCCCGTGCAGTTTAGGTCATGGAAAGTTCAAAAGTCATAATCATTCAGCTAGCATGTTTCAGAACTCGTGATATTCTGAAGCGTGATGCTTTGGGAAAAGCCTCAGGAGTGACTGCCCAGTAGAATACCATCCAGTGCACGAGCTGCTGTCCAAAAAAAGATGCTTGCCAACAGTGACCTAAGCAAGTTCTACAAGGGAAGAAGAAGAGCTTTATCAGGTCTGTCGGAATGTTTTATTATCACCATTAGCAGCAAAAAGGATCTGGTTTGGCAGAGACTTCTGTTTCTTCTTCATGAAGCACTATATCATGTAATTAATTTTGTGCCCCCATGACCACTGTGAAAACAGATGGATTTACCTCTGGCAAAGTTCATGAGGTCTCTGTGGACCGTATTCTGTCTGGGGAAGGTCTGTCACAGCTGCATTTCACAGGCCACACCACTGACATCTCCGGATACTGACCTAGGGTGAGCTGATTTTCTATTGAAAACTTAAAGCACAAGGAGCCAATGGACCCAGAAGCAGATGAGAAGAGGTCCAATGAAAGTGCTTTATGCTACACAACTGGATGGATGGAACTGAAAGAGCTTCCTTCCCAACACTGTTTCTGTGCCACTTAGAGGCATGAGGCTGCTACCAGTATGAAACCTCACTCCTGGCATTTTAAGTAACGTTTCTAATTTTTAAAAACAAAGCAGACAATCCTTTCTGATTACCATAGCCATAATCTTCATTTGTGATTTTTTTAAAAAATAATAATAATTACAGAAAAAATAACAAAATACTGTGATAAAATTTTAACAGACTTTACACCAAGCCTGTACTAAGATAAAACTGGGGGTGTTTTAGGTGCTACTGAACTGTCAGACAGTGACATCCTTTCTGCCCACGTCTCAGCGTTCACTGTCAGCAATGGCTTTCAGCAGTGATGGTATTTGAAATAAGCAGTTTCCAGGTGGGAGGCTCTGTGCTCATTCGTATTTTCAGCCGTTGGAAGGGGCAATCTCTCCAGCAAAAACCATCCGTTTACTCAGGCAGCATTGTGGGCAGAAGGGAAATTTTGCCTTCAACCAGATGAGCTCCTTCAGGATTTTCACTCCATTATTTACCTTGTAAATTAGACTCCTGGGAGGGTTACAGATGTTGGAAATGCTGCATGCAAAAACCGTGCATGTTTGTATGTTCGTCTCCTTTTCTTGTTTCTCCCTTTTAATATTAAACAGCCATTTTCACTGCTGGTTCTCTGCCTTAGGACAGAAGAGCAACACTTGCTAGAAACAAAAGACAGGGAGTGGTAGCAGGGCGTGTCAAGAAAAAGGACAGAAACCGATGCAGAAAATCATTGAGCGTGGTTCCTTCCCATTCCTGTGCTTCACAAAACGAGAGACAAATTTGTCCTTATTGAATAAAGAGGGGGCGATGTTTCCTTTGCATTTCTGGTCAACCTCAGCCAAAGCCACAAGTTTTACCTCTTCCAGCTTTCAGCCCCGTTAAGCTTTTTCCAACACTGCAGTGGACTTCTGCAGGACTCCAGGAGAAAAGTTAGTAAATTAGCGATAAATTTTGACAGATTCTTGCCTGGGGGGGAACCCAGCATTCACTTATGACTCAGCCTTGTCAAAATCACGCGATTAGCTTAGTCACTTGGTGATTTTTTCCCAAACAACCGCTGCCCTCATTCCCTGTGGTGATTTGGGATGAAGCTTTTGCCGCTCACCCCTCTGGGGCGACGCCAGGCACGTGGCCTGCAGCCAAACGCAATCTGACGTGAACCCAAGCGCTTAGCTATCGAATTTAGTCCTCGGGGCAAGCCGGCTGCTTTAGTAGCTGTGTTTTTCCAACGCCGCTCCCCGTAGCAGAAGACTATTCAGCTGTAACCGCTCCTTCCCACACGGACAGGACCGAGCGCCGCCCGCGGCTCTCAAGCCACGAGGCGCTGCGCTCCCCGCATAGTTCCGGCCCGCCTGCCCCCGAACGACGCCGGAGGGCTGAAGGCAGATCTTCATCTCCACCTCGCTCTCACAGCACCCACAGACTCCGCTTCCCGCCGCCCGCACCCCTTCCTCGCGGCCACCCCGCGCCCTCCTCAGTATCCACGGCGCATGCGCGCTCACAACCCGCCACCACCGCCCGCCGAACACGCGTGCGCACAAGCCGCCCCGCCCCGCCCCTCCCCTCCCATCCGGAGCTGTGCGCAGGCGCGGTGCGCGCCGCCTGCCCGCCCGGCTGGTGCGTGCGAGAGAGAAGATGGCGGCGGCGGGGGCAGCAGCGTGAGGCGCACGGGAGACGCCGAGCTCCCTAAGGAAGCGGGCCGTCATGGCTGTGAACGGCGCTCAGGTACCGGCAGGCCCCTTCTTTCCGGTTCTGGGAGCCTCGGGGCATTCTAGGCGGCTCTATAGGGCGGCTGGGCCCCGCGGCGCGGCTCGCCGAGGGGGGGAGCGTGGTGGCCGGGAGTAGGCCCAGGGTGATTCTGCAGCTTCATTGAATCTCCTCGGCGCGGCGGGGGGCTCCGCTGGCGGCCGGGCTACGGCGCTCACACCGCACTGCCGAGCGGCCCCGCGTGCTGGGGGCGGCCCCGAGGGGGGCGGGGGGGCGGCAGTGCTCGGGGAGGGGAAGAAGCGGGGCGGGGAGCGGGAGGCGGCCTGGCGGAGCTCTGGGCGGGATGGAGTCGGTGTCGATCCCCACCTTCGGCCACGGCGGGGAGGGGGATGGGGGGGGGACAGGCGGTGGGGAAGCTTCCGTGGATCGGGCTTTTTTCGGAGGGGGGCAAAGAGGAGGACGGCAGCATGGAAGCCATTCTATAATGGGAAGGGAATAAGAAGATTTGTAAAGTAATCCTTCCCCCTCCCCCCTTCCCTCCCCCCCCGCCCGAACACGCCGCGCTTTGGGGTGCAAAGGGCCGGGAAGGGGGGTGGGGCCGCCTTCCCCCCCCCCGCACCCATTGAGCTGCGCTGCTGGCCGGGGCTCTGCGAGCTGCTGGGTTTGCGGCCAGCATGGCACGCAGCGACCGGGTGCGTTTCCTATTGCCTTTGTAACGCTTTTTTTTTTTTTTTTTTTTCCTCCCCCCTTTCCCCCCCTTTTTTTTTTCTCCACGCAACCAGAGGCAGCGTCTGGTGCGTTGCGGTGCGCTTAAGGTGAACTCGCAGGGTTTGGTGAATGATAAAGTTTAGGGAACTTGGTGTGTAAAATGAATCCTGCTGTTAAAGCACGTGCTTTCCGGTGGGGAATTCTTCTGTGGAATCGGAGCGTTTGAAACACATCGATGCATCATCTGGTATTCTGTGTTTTAACCCGGGGTGACTGCAGTATGCACATAGTGGATAGCAGCAGTGTGTTAGCAGCACTGCCTGAGTTTTTTCCTCAAAAGAAAAACGTGTAATTGGTGAAAATTGTATTCGTGGTATTTCTTGTCCAGCTTCCTTCATGCTTGGGCAAGGAAGAAGGACCTGGGTCTGGTAGGTGGGTGTTTGCAGGGCAGCTGTGTGTCTGGAGTTTGTTTCAAACACAGTGTGATGGCCTGGAATTACAACATTTTGTGTCCTTTAGCTTTTCTTTCAACCTGGAGGAAGCACTGTTCCGTACATCATCTGCCCTAATTAATGATAATTAGAATGCAGCGTCTATCAAAAAGATTGAGTGTTCCAAGCAGAGGCTCTTTTGCTCACTGCCTTGTCTCCCTTCAGTACAGGCAGCAGTGCCTGTATCGCTTCGATAAGACTGACATCTTTGTTGCAGATTTTCTCAATTTAGAAGAATAAATGAAATTTTTGTGTCTGTACTTAATTAAGTTGCTGTACCTTGGATTGAAAGAGGAGAGCTGAGCTGATGATTTGGTTTAGTGTGAAGCACTGCATAGATGCAATTAAAAGTAGACGGTATGTTCATCTTCAGTAGCAACTTGCTGTGTGCTGTTTTAAATCGAAGCACTTTCTAGGTAAAAAGAGATATTTTGGTCTTGTGAGGATTGCAGTTTAAGTTTGTAAATAATTCAGGAAGTGAATCTGCCAGTTATCTTACAGTTAATGTTTTGTGTCATTCTTTTTCTTTTTTCCCCTCTAATTTAAACAGCTTATTTAAGTGGTGCAAGAGGGGTTCAAATGGATATCTATACTAGAGCAATACACTGCTATTCTACTGAAGGAAGGTAGTAATGTTCTGGTCACTGGGATGGAGAATCTGAACATAAATTTAGCAATTTTACATGTTTCCTTTTATTTTAGGATGGTAGTATTGAAGACCAGTAGAAAAAATGAAGTTGTTTTGCTGATGTGCTATATTCTAAGCACAAGACCACATAGTTTTTTCTCTCAGAGAGTGATGAGGCACTGAAACAGGTTGCCCAAGGAGGTTATGGATGCTCCATCCCTGGAGGCATTTCAAGGCCAGGCTTGATGTGGCTCTGGGCAGCCTGGTGGTTGGTGATCCTGCACACAGCAGGAGGTTGGAACTAGATGGTCGTTTTCAAGCCAGGTCATTCTACGATTCTATAATTTAGTTGTTATGTTCGTGTCACAATGCTGCATTCTGGGCCAGAGTTTTCCCATGTGATTCATTGGAGCACACCGTTGTTGAGACGTTTGCTCTGCCACGTGAGTGAAAAGTCTCTCTAAATAGGTAAAATGCACTGTAGGGTTTCTGCCAATGGATGGGTTCGTGTAACAGTATGCAGAAGCACTCGTCGGTCGCTTTGCACATTCTAAGAGATGATTCATGGAACATGACCCTATAGTGTATTTTCAAAGGAGGGATTAAATGTGGACGGCCAGCTAGTCTGCAGGCGCATCAGAGTGAGGTAACACAGTTCAGATAATGCCGGTCGCTCGTACCTCTGTATTCCGTGCCATTATTTCATAATCATTTAATGAGATATTTAAGTGTTGCTGTTGGTTTTCTGGGCGTATTCTGAGCGTATTCAAAATTCTGGAGGCAAGCAAGACACAAACCAGTTGTGTCACTACAGGTTCTGCGTGGTGCTGCAGAGGGGGAGCTGATTAACGCTGAGCGTAGTGGAAACCATTTCTCATGAAGGACATTTAAGAGAAAAGCTGAAATGTTTCCCTGTTTGGAACAGTAATACTGAAGAGTTGTTTTAGCCTCTCTCCTATCGTTTTGATAGAGTGCATTAATGCAGACACTTCATTTGCAAATCTTGTGAAAACAAGGTAAGCAGAAGAAAGGATACCGTAGCAGAATGAATCATTTATGCTTGTTTTGCTCTGTCACTGTTCAGGTGGTGTCAGATTAACTCGGTGTCATTTGAAATGCCCCATGTTGCCCCCAGAACCAGCACCAGTAAAAACCAGTAGGACTTGTGTTCAGAGGGAGCCGAACAAGCTTGAGAGCTGCTCATGCTCACCCAGGCCTGGCAACCAGAATAACTGGAACCTGGCTCCTGAGTGCAGCCAGCTCTGCACATGGTGCTGTGGGATGCCTGAGGCTGGAGCTCGCTCTGGAGGGGTGAAAAAGTCTGCAGGCATGTATCATCTCTGCAGTGTATGGCCTGAGGTTTGTGAGTGGTGTTGATTGGGAAATCAGCGTCCTTTCCCCCCCCCCCCCCCAAAAAAACAAAAACAAAAACAAAAAAAAACCGTCTGTTCTACAGCTGGAGGAGTTCCTTGTGCTGTCCTTGTGTCTCTGCAGATGTGTCTCATGCCGTGTGTCCTTGCAGACAGAAAGATTGGAAGAGAGGGCAGTGTGCATCCTGTCAGTTGAGTTCCTAAAATGGATGGAAAGCTGTGGCTTGGGTGGGGGCACTCGGAACACTGTGTTGCAGGAGGGACATTGCCTTCTGCTGTCACAGCTGAGCTGAGTTTTGGTGTTCTGAAGGTCTGATGATGAAGCTGGATTGGTGGCTTCTTTTTTCTGTTCTAGGAGCCCCTCTTCCGTGACACAGGACTGGTTGGGAAGGTCCTGCTGCCAGAGCTGTTGCTGATGGAACCATCCTGGGCTTCCATGCTTCCCTGAGCTCAGGCTGTAGACAGAGCTGAGTTAGGTAGCCAGGAGGTATCAGTTGTCTCTCTGAAATGTGAATGGTGAATCCCCGTAGTACGGCGTGGGAGAGTGGGCTGGTTGGCTTTAAAAAGGATGTCTGGGAAACCTGACATAGAGCTTAAATTTGGAAGTGCGTGGCGGGTGTGTGGCAGCATGCGACTAATAGCAAGAAATGTACGCTTTTTGTGAGTCACTCCTATACATTCGGTGAGATTTCACTTGCAGCACTGATAGTGAGACGTTTTAGAATGGAACCTAGTACTTATTAATAAATAAACTTTTGTTAGCAGTCGTGCAGTCAGGCTGCTTTCTCCATTTGTATAGCTGGTAAAATAGCTGTGAACTTAAGTGGGGTTTTGCTTATAGGTAAACTGTGCTGTCTGATTGCTGCTCAGTGCTATACGCACAACGTGCTGTGTAGTACAAAACGGGCAAAGCTGTTGTAATAGAACTTGCTGGCCTTGGGCCACTGGATTATAGTCATTTGTCACTCTAATGCCATTTCAGCAATGTAGATGTTCAATTCCAAAGAATTAAAGATGCTGGAACTGCGGTTTTCCATGGAGGTGGTTTATGTGTGATCATGAAACATGCAACTTGGGATTATGGAACAAAGAGTTAGGCTTCATGGTGAAAAAAGTGTATGTGTGTACGTACATATGCACAAACGTTCCATAATGAAGAAGTTAATAATTTCAAATAGGATTTATAGGCTTTGATTTATGAAATTGTGTTTTATAGGTTTAACTCTGTATTTTAAGCATTATTGCCAATAACGGTGCCATGTGGATTGTTTTTAAAACACTTAAAGGATTTTGCCAGACCAGTGCTCATGGTGATATATTCATTAAGAGGAAGTTTTTCACACACAGGGTGGTGAGGCACTGGAACAGGTTGTCCAAGGAGGCTGTGGATGCCCCATCCCTGCAGGCATTCAAGGCCAGGCTGGATGTGGCTCTGGGCAGCCTGGGCTGCTGGTTGGTGACCCTGCTCATAGCAGGGGGTTGGAACTGGATGAGCATTGTGGTCCTCTTCAACCCAGGCTGTTCTGTGATCTATTAATCCTCAGCACACATCACAAAGTCAGGTTCTTTCACCTATAGCTGGGCAA